ATAAATTCCACATATCCTTCATTTTTGTAATTGATCCTTATGGAATTGTTTTGAAGACACAGTTAGCATTGATTAGAGACTGATGGGAATATGGAGTTTTGTTTGTTTGCAGGTTCAGATGTGTCTCAAAGGGCTGGATGCTTAGCTGAGCAGTCAACAAAATACTTGGATGCTTTCAAGTTTTCAACAAAACAATTCACAGCTGGCAGAAACTGGCATTTTTATCAGCTGGTTCTGGGTTTGTCTGCACTACAGAGCCTTTGCTACTATTATACTGCCATGACTCTAGCAGTCTGTAGTGAAAATGCAACATAAGCTTTCAGGAGTTTTGTTTTGTTTTTTTACCTGTAAACACCTCATGAACAATAAACTAAGGTAATAAAAATATTCATGTCTTGAAATAGCTGCATCTACACCAGGATTTTGCTGATACAGCAATGCTGGCATAACGTTGTGGGGTGGAATAGACATTTGAAGAGAAGCCATTTAGTGATGAATGTGAAGACTTAATTATAATCTCTCCTCTAGAGGGGATCTCTTTAGATAATTATTTGTGTGTTGTTAGTGTAGATCTCTGCTCTTGGCATCCTTTGGAAAAGCTTTGACTTTTGGGAACCTACATATGCTTCATTTAAAACTCAGAAGTGTTTTTAGCCAAAATTATCTAAAAAGGGGTTGGCCCCACATGCTTCTTGACTGAGCAGAGAACTGGAACTCCATGGTGTCTTTAACTTCCATCTTCACTTTTCATTTATTTTTGTTCTCTTTTCTTCCAAGTTAGTTTTAATAACCAAATGATGATGATAGTCTTTTTTTTTTTAAAAACAATCTCCTGACTTTAACATATGTTTCCAAGAATTAAACATTTCTTATTTTTTCTGGAACCGGTTAGGAGGTCATTCTTTCTGCTGCATTGGCAAAACTGGAAGAAGGACTGGATTTGGGGATTTAGGGAAATGAGTTGTTCTTAACTATGCCAAGCACCAATGCATTTAATGCTTGGAGGAGAACCATAATTCCCAGGGATGCTCCATTTGCTTTAAACTCATTGCTTGGGTTTATCCCCAAATAGCCTCTAGTCTTGTGAGCCATTCACCTGTGAGGGGGAAAAGTGGATCTGAATCCTCTCAGACAAATGATGGAATTGAATCATTCTGGGTGAGGTTTCTAGTCACTGAACTGCTCTATTGAAGTGTCCTCATCTGGCTCCTACTGGAAAGTAGCTGACACTGCTGTGCTTCACCTGTTAAGCAACTTAAGGGAGTTAAGCAAGACTGTCATCGCTCCAACACTCTTCTTGATATTCCTTATTGTGATGCTACATCTGACCACCAACAAGCTTCCAGTCGGAGTGGAGCTAAATTACCAAATGGATGGTAAACTGTTTAATCTCAGCTGATTCTGAGCCAAAACCAAGACAACCCCAGCCTCGATCATCGAGCTCCAGTATGCTGATAGTGCTGTAGCGTGTGCTCATTCAGAAACAGACCTTCAGGCAATTGTCATTGTCTTTACTGAAGCATACAGGAAAATGGGACTGATGCTTAACATTCAGAAGACTATTATGTCATCCATCAACAAGCTCTTAATGAGCAGATCCCAGCTCCAATCATTCAGATTCATGGTGAGGCTCTGGAGAATGTTGAGTATTTCCTGTGCCTCAGAAGCCCTCTCTCACAGAAGGCTGACATCGATGAAAAAAATCCAACATTTCCTCAGATGTGCAAGTGGGATGCCTAAGGAAATGGGTGTTTGAAGATTGCGACATCAGATCTGAAACAAAGCTCACGGCTTATCAAGCAGTCATGATTCCTAACTTACTGTGTGAGCTGAGATGTGGACAGTGTACTGGAGACACCTCCAGTCACTGGAGAAGTACCATCTGTGCTGCCTGCAGAAGATCCTTTGAATCCAGTGGGAAGACAGACATACCAACATTAGCATCCTCTTGCAAGCAAACACAATGAGCATTGAGGTGATGATTATCTGATACCCACTCTGCTGGACCGGGCATGTCATTCGGATGTTGTATAGCTAGAACCAGGCTGATCGGTGAGCATGCCGCCAGTGGTGGCGGAAGTGCCAGCTGCGGTGCCCACTGCCGAGTACCCCCTGAGGCCATCCCAGGTACCACCAGGGGTACACATACTCCCAGTTGAAAACCCCTGTCATATCCTATGACTCAGACAGGTCTTGCATTTGCGGTGTGGCTGTTGGGTGGGTAGATTGGGCCATATTGTACAGCTAGAACTTGGCTGCACAATCCAAATTAAAATCAGTTGGAGACTGTGTAGATGGATGTTTTTTCCCCCCTGTGCATGAAGTCTAACTGACCTCTTCAACATACTGTAGTTGGGAACTATTAGCTCTAAGATAACTGCAGAGGTACATGCCCATGAAGCCTTAACTCTGCCTCATGTGAAGCAGGCAGTGACCAGTATGGCATGTCTGCTTGTGCTCCAGCTGCATTTGCTGTGTTAGGTGGAGGGATTAATGGGAGCAGGCTGGCAGGTTGGTGATTGTGATATGAGACATATTGGGAGGGCTGTACATCTCTGGGACGAGTACGAGCTCATGGCCTTTTCTTTGTAGTCAAGAGAAGGGTGCACGTGAAATCTTGAGAGATCCAGTGCGGCGTGTTTCAGCACTGCACTGCATAGTTTTAGGACAGCAGAAGGGTATAGGAGTGTTCTTGCCATAGGGATTGTCAGCAATTAGGTGGAAAATGAGTGCGGTCTCTGGGTTTTATGCTAGGTAAGTGAAAATGCAGTGTTAGGTTGCATTGTGTGAGTAAAGGTGAAGGGGATGTGAAAGGCAATGGAGAGGCTTCAACATTTAGAGAGGATGTCCTTTCCATGCAGCATGCTGAGTATTCAGCTGTAGGGTAGGAGTAAGGAGCCCCTGTTCTGTACAGTTCAAAGGCAGAAGTAAAATATATACATACAGTATTAGAGCTCTGTTGGGGCATCACTAAATGAGGACAGAATTAAGGTTGTGTAGCCATGTACCTGAACTCTATTTCCAGGCAACTGTTTATCTGTGTTAATGGAACTTTTATCATTGAATTTTTCATTGCTTTTTTATTTAGTGAAAGAGAAATATTTGTTGTTCTAGTCCATAAATAACGTATACAGTTACAGTTAACATGTAGGCTTGCAAGCGGGAGGGGAGGTTACAGTGAATAAGTAGAAGTAGGAGGTGTTGTGCAATTCACTGCTATTGTCCCCTCCTGCACACTTTACTGCAGGGGAAAGGGGATGGTGGTTGTGCACTGAAATGCTTGGAGTCTGGTTTCTAGTAGGGTCACTAAGCATCATCTGTCCCCCACACTTTTGCAGAATTTTAATCATGTGAGAGAAGACTGGTTTATCTCTCTTCTACCCCAGCAACCCACATCCCCTCAAAATTACCTATCTTTCCTGTGTAACACCTCCTTTTCCAGCTGACTCTTCCCTTTCTGCCCCATTAAGAAATTAGCATTATAGAATCCATTAGCCTGTAAAAAATTACTCTTTGCTTTCTGGTGCCTTGTGTTTCTTTGTACATATGCCACAGTTGGCAGTTTACAGGAGCATTAGGCACTTCCTAGGTTATACAGCTTAAACCACATGCTAATGATTTGGCTTCTATATTCCCACCTCGCTGGACTCCTGCTTTGATTTGGCCAGGCCCCCTTCAGCCACATCTATGGCCCACTGAGCTGGCCTGCCCTCTGTGCCCCCTTCCTCTAGCCAGTTTTCCTGCCACACATTGTTACCATGTATCTTAATTTTGTATTTCCTGATTTTCTGAGGTTTAAGTTTAGGCTACCTTCAGGACTCCTTCTAGTCCTAACTTAGAGCTTGTACAGGTTAGCAGGAGTAGAGGCACTCAGAGAAGCAGGGACTTACCTCCCTTCCATTCTCATATCCTGGCATGTACCTGATGGACAGGGACAGGAGTTCAGAAAACCCTAGAGGGGCAAGGCCTACCAGATGCCACCAGCACACATGCACACACACAGGAGAGGAGAGTGTGGTGTTAACAAGCGTTTCTCTCTCTTGCTAATCTCCCACTTGCTCTGCCACCCACTCCATGTCACCTATCCTTTCCTATTCCTTTCACCCCAATACATCTCCCCTCCCTACCACTCCCTTTTCACTCCCAGCAAGCATTCAGGTGTTTAATGGATTCTCTTTTCAAAATAATTTGAGCACCCCCTGAATTTTTTGCTGTGCATCGTACAATATGTCGTCCTCCAAGGAATATTGGGTGGTAAGCATTAGATGGAGAATGTGTTTGAGCAACTTAAATCATTCTGAGCCCAATCAAAGCCATGATTTGATCCCTCCTAAAATGTTGGTAAAACTTTTAGCCATAAGAAGCTCTTTATGGTGATGAGGGGCTGTAGCTAGGGAACCCATGCTTGGAAAACAAGCCCAAACCTGCACCACTTCATTTTAGAGCAGTCCCTAAGGAAGTGGATTTTAGAGTACATAGGAAAATTGACCTTCAAGCAGCAGAGCTGGTGTTTCACTGTAATGTAACCTCATTAGGTAAAGACTCTCCAGAGGACCTTGTCTGGTGTCAATTGGGGCATCTAAGCACGTATGTAATACAAATAATATAATAAACAATTTAACGCCTCATGTGATTTGTGCTTCACGCGTTGCTGGCTGCTAATATGTTGTGGTGTTATACAAGTGGAAGCTCAATTCTTTAGGTCTTTGAAGTCAGCTGGGTGCATTGTGGGCAAAGCAGACTGTCTGCATGCAGTGAGTTAACAGGGTCAGGGCCAAAAACAGTGCACTGGTTTTATCAGTGATATGGGTCAGTCAAAGCTTATTGCATCAATAATCAGGATCATAACAAGGAGCCATAATAGTTTCTATATTTTAATGATAAAATGGACCTAAAACAGCCCTAAAAGAAATGACAAAATGACACCTGTCTGATTGTTTTCCTGAATCATTAAACAGCATGCAAAAAGTTTTTCTGATGAATAAATGTTATGTTTTTAGGTTTGTGAAAGAAAATGAATTTGGCTGAGATCTGTGATAATGCCAAAAAGGGGCGAGAATATGCACTTCTTGGGAACTATGACTCCTCCATGGTATATTACCAGGGCGTCATCCAGCAGATTCAGAGACACTGTCAATCCATCAGAGACCCAGCAGTCAAGGGCAAATGGCAACAGGTATGAAGATATGGCTGTATACTCAGTGTGCTTCTGCTTCACTGTATATGTAGATTTTGGAAGCAACGTTGCATTGTCCAAGCTTTAAAAAATGTAGTTCATGCATATTTTAGCTTAGATGAAGTTTATAACACTTAGTTGACTTTTTTCCAGCAGTGATTTTGTGGCATATTTAGAAGGGATTCTTAGTTTTAATTGGATCCATTTTCTTGTTTTCACATAGTTTGTCTCGCTAATCAGTGGTCTAATTGTGTGTGACTGCATATTTTGGAAATACAGTTATGCCAGTGATTTTCTTTTGCTGCCTCATCTTTTAACCATCTAATCTGCAGTGAGCTATGATTTGAGGGGATGCACTTGCATCATTAAAAGGACTGATTTAGTGGCAATGAAATAAAATATTAACCAGCAATTGTTAGATTAGTTTCCTGGAATGCAAGTTATTTACTCTGAAGCTGAGAACTTATACATATCCCAGGTACCAGTTTAACTTCACTCACATGATAAGTACATTTGAATTTAGCCTGGGCTGAAAGTTAAGTTTCTTCCTAAGTGCTGCTGGATTTCTACTTACTAATCTGCCATGGCCCCCTTAAAGTGAATGGCACAAAATACCCTGACTTCCAGGGTGGAAAACCTGAGCAGTTTGTTTTATGTCTTGATTTTTTACTTCCTCAGTGCTACAAGGAAATTTCTCTAATACCAACAAATGAACGTTTGGAGGATATACAGACAAAACTGCTCTGCAGAGTGCTAAGTAAGAAAAGATGGAGAAGATGCATCCCTTACCTAAAGAGAGAATGCCAAGTTATTATGTTAAAATTCAAATTGTTAAACATGTAATACTAGTTACAAGCATTAATTGTGTTCTCTCCCAGGTTTGTCCTTTTTGTCATGATAAACTTTGGGTTTTCCTTTGGGTTGAGCAAATTGGTATATAACATGGAATACTGTAATTTATATAGTGCCTTTTGCAAAACATCTCTTGCCTGACTCATATTGACATCAATACAATTATATAATGTTTATTTAAAAATCTGCCCCCTAGCTACAAGAGAGAATACAAAACATTGGACCATGCCCGTTGGCTTCAGTGGATTCCACAAAAATAAAGATTCCTTTTTACTTTTTTCTCTGCAGTAGTTTGGTACCCTTTTTTAAAATGATGGGTTAGGAAACCAGGAGGTAATGTGTATAAGAATTTGTTTGTTCTCATGTGCATGTTAAGGTAAATCATATTCTTTGACCTGAAATTCAGAGGATCATAGGAAGTTAGGGTTAGACCTCAGGAGGTCACCTAGTTCAACCTCCTGCTCAAAGCGGGACCACCTCCAACTAGATCATCCCAGCCAAAGCTTTGTCTATCTGAGTTTTGAAAACCTTTAAGGATAGAGCTTCCACCACCTCTCTGGGTAACCTGTTCCAGTGTTTTACTACCCTCCCAGTGAGAAAATTCTTCCTAATATCTAACTTAAATTTCCCTTGCTGCAACTTGAGACCATTGCTCCTTGTTATGTCATCTGCTACCACTGAAAAGAGTCTAGCTCCATCCTCTTTCGAGCCCTGGTTCAGGTAGTTGAAAGCTGCTATTAAATTCCCGCTCAGTCTTCTCTTCTCTAGACTAAATAAGTCCACTTCCCTCAGTCTTCATAAGTCATGCCCCCTAGTCCCCTCACCATATTTGTTGCCCTCCACTGGACTGTTTCCAATTTGTCCACATCCTTTCCGTAGTGAGGCGCCCAAAACTGAATGCAGTACTCCAGATGTGGCCTCACCAGTGCTGAATAGAGGGGAATAATCACTTCCCTTGACCTACTGGCAACACACCTACCAGTGCAGCCCAGTATGCTGTTAGCCTTCTTGGTAACAAGGGCACATTGCTGGCTCATATTTAGCTTCTTGTCCACTGTCACCCCCAGGTCCTTTTTTGCAGAGTTGCTGCCCAGCCAGTACTGGTGCATGGAATTGCTCCATCCTAAGTGCAAGACTTTGCTCTTGCCCTTGTTGAGCCTCATGAGATTCCTTTTGGTCCAAACCTCCAATTTGTCTAAGTCACTCTGAATCCTAGCCCTAACCGCCAGTATATCTACTACTCCCAGCTTGGTGTCATCTGCAAACTTGCTAAGGGTGCACTCTATGCCATCTTCCAGGTCATTGAAGAAGAAACTGAACAAAATTGGCCCCAGCACCTACCCCTGGAGCACTCCACTTGATACCGGCTGCCAACTAGACATTGAGCCATTGATTACTACTCTCTGATCCCAATGCTCCAGCCAGTTTTCTGTCTACCTTACAGTCCAGTCATCTAGCCCAGGCTTCCTTAGTTTGCCTGTGAGAATGTTGTAGGGGACTGTATCAAAAGCCTTGCTAAAATCAAGGTACTGGTCTTCCTGCATCCACCAAACCAGTCACCTTATCATAGAAGGCAATCAGGTTGGTCAGGCATGACTTGCCCCTGGTGAATCCATGCTGACTGTTCCTAATCACCTTTTTCTCCTCCAAGTGCTTAGAAATGTATTCTTTGAGGATCTGTTCCATTCACGATGTTCTCTTTTAAAAGATTGTCTACATACCCACTAATGTGCTGAGATTTTTTGGTAAGCAGTATCCATGTGATGCACACATAACTGCATAGTTCATGTGTTTTGCATCCAGAAGATAAAAAGGTAGCATGCACTGACTATGCCTTGGTTCATTTCCCTCAGTCATTTCTTGCTAGAGATGGAGTTTCTTGTTGTCTGAGCTATGACCGCGAGAAAATTCTTTGGATCTATAATGGTGTCTTTGTTGTGGCATGGATGTCAGTCTTGCCCTATTGTAATGGGGACTGTACTAAATATAGGCACACCCTCATAATGCCTTGACTCTTTCTGATCATCCCATTTTCAAGGAAAAGGCTCCACCTGTACATCCTTCAATTTCTGGATCCTCGAGGACAAGGAGACTGTATTACAGACTTATCTCCTGGGCAAGTCTCTGAAGTTCACAGTATACCTAGGTTTCTAGAACTCACTTAGGCATGCTTCCTGGGAGTCAACGAGCATGAGTGCAGACTCTAAAGCCCACAGAACACCAGCACCTGCTCAGACTAAGACCAGCAAGAAATGATCTTCAGACAAAATAAAGGCATAGGAAGTTACAGGAACATATCCTCCATGAAGAGCCACTACAAAAAGACATCTTCACCACATAACCCTCCCACCAAGGCTCTGAGCAGTTCACGATAAAGCTGGCATGCACAACTGCACTTTATGACTTGATACTGGAGTTTCAGAGAAGACCTGATGCCTTTGATATTATGGAGTGCCTCTTCTACATCATAGGTCCTGGCTCCATTGACCTACCATTTTGTGACGGGAACACCTGTGGAGGCTCCTTTGGGAATGTTCACTGTATTAGCTCATAATGTAGCACAGATCCTTAGGGGGCAATAACATCACCTCAACCAGTCTACCTGTGAGTATGCTACAGACTACCATGCAGCCCATAAGAAGTTCATGTCACTAACAGGACATATTTGTCAGGAATCCGAATTGTGGCAGCTGTCTACCTCATTTCCATTGATAATGTCAGGACTCTACGTATATAACTGAGTTGAGATTTCTTTTGGCTTGACACCAAAGCTAAATGATGATGCCATCTACCTCCTCCATTGAGTTAGATAATAGTCATAGCTCATAATGTTTTCATAAGTGTAATCACATGTTTGCTTGAAATGGTTGTAAATCATTGGCATGCTGTGACATATTGAAACTATTACGTTAGATAATCCTTGCCTGAAAGGGAGCAACTTTGCAGTGTCTCGGCGGCACTTAACATGTACTAAACTGCTTGAATATGCATTTGCTTATGTTTTAACTGAACTTAGTAAGTGTTAAGCTGAACATGTGACATCACCCATAAACACTCCCACAAGTGTGTTCTCAGCCTTTGATTTCCTACAGGAAGTCAAGAGTATTGTTCTGGAACAAATACTGAGACAGTCATCATCCATCTCCAGGGCCAATCTCAATGGCACCCCACCCACATCGATTGCAAGGGCCTTATTGGTTGTACTGGGGCCTGTCAGCATGATAAAGAAGAGAGAACTACTGACAAACCATACCACTCCGTATGACCATGCCATACTTCTCAATTGACAGCCTTACGTACTTAAGATTCCCGACAGCTTTCATCTGCTCACCTGTCCTTGGAGCAGGAAGACATGCTGAAATCCTGGCTGCAGCGCATTCACTTGGTCTGTAGAATGGATTGGCAGGCAACTAAAGTAGAATTTTTCTTTGTATCATGTAAGAAAGATGAAAGATTCCACTTTCAGGACACTTTCTTATCCTAGGATTATACCTGAGTAAGGCTATTTGCAACACAAACCAACAGTGAGTTGGTAAGAAGTGTCGTATCTTCCATTCAAGGCAGTGCCTGAGTCCAGAATCCCTGTCCAGTGCCTTCCTGGCTCCATAGATGGGATCAGAGTACAGAATGATCCTGTTCTTCATCTGTTTGTGATTTCATGACTAATAATGGGGAGCTGCTATGAGACATCTGATACCTGGCACAGTGGATGAGATTTCCTTCCTGGTGTGGTAGCGATTCTTAACACCATGTGAAACATTGAGACTGTGAATACCTTCTAGAATTAAAACAGAGGGATACATCCTTACATTCAGTTTAAGTAGGCTAAGTGATGACTTTTGGCACTCGTCTGCCCTGAATGGTCAAGCTAGGGAAAAATTTGGTGTTGAAGGGCCTAACTAAGATATCTTTATCAGAAGAAGATTTGTTCCTGTTGTGGGATGTTATCTTAGTCTTGTCGGTTCTTGTTGACTCTCCATTCAAAACAGCAGTATCATGCTCCTTGCTGCAGTTCTCAATGGAAGATGCAATCACCTCAGCAAGAAGGATAGGGGAGATCTAGAGCCCAATAGTGAACCCTCTTGCCCTCTCTCCTGCCTTACTTGGTTTTCCATTTGGATTTGGTGTGCCTAAATTTTTGTGCAAAG